GAGCACTACTCATAATAGCTAAAAACAGAAATTACTGAAATGCCCATCAACATGTTTATCCATGATATGAATAACTAAAACTGGTATAGCCATATTATGAAATATTATTTGGCAATGAAAAGGAATGAAATACTAATAATGTATGCCACAAGATTGAAGAATCACAAAAACATTTTGCTAAGTGAAAGAAGCCAGTTATAAAAGACCACACATAGGCAAATCTCTATAGACAAATCTATAGAGACAGAAAGACTGAAGGCTGAGGAAAGGGGAAAGAAAGAGGAATGATTGCAAGTGGTTTCAGGTTTCTTTGGGGTGATGAAAATATTCTCTACTTAAATTGTGGTGATGTTTACACAACTCTGCGAATATACTAAAAACTAAAATTGTGTGCTTTTTTTTTCGGTCATACCTCATGGCATGTGGGATCTTAGTTCCCGACCAGGGATGGAACCCATGCTGCCTACAGACTCATAACCACCAAACGCCAGGGAAGCCCTTAATTGTATACTATAAATAGCTTGATTTCACAGTATGTGCTTTATGTCTCCATATGATACTACTTTAATGGCAAAAGCAAAGAGGAACTAAAGAGCCTCTTGATGAGGATAAAAGAGGAGAGTGAAAAAGTCAGCTTAAAACTCAATACTTTTAAGGGGAAATGGTGGAAGTAGTGACAGATTTCCTTTCCTAGGGCTCCAAAATCACTGCGGAGGTGACTGCAGCCATGAAACTAGAAGACGGTTGCTTGGAAGCTATGACACACCTAGACAGTGTGCTAAAAAGTGAAGGCATCACTTTGCTGACAAAGGCCCGTATAATCAAAGCTATGGTCTTTCCAGTAGTCATGTACGGACGTGAGCGCTGGACCATAAAAAAGGCTGAGAGCCAAAGAACTGATGCTTTTGAACTGTGGTCCTGGAGAAGACTGAGTCCCTTGGACCGCAAGGAGATCAAACCAGTCAATCCTAAAGGAAATCAACCCTCAATATTCATCGGAAGGACTGATTCTGAAGCTCCAATACTTTGGCCACCTGATGTGAACAGCTGACTCATTAGAAAAGACCCTGATGCTGGAAAAGACTGAAGGCAGAAGAGGGTGACAGAGGATGAGGTGGTTGGATGGCATCACTGATTCAATGGACAAGAATTTGGGCAAACTCCAGGAGATGGTAAAGGACAGGAAGCCTGGCGTGCTGCAGTCCATGGGGTCACAAAGAGTCGGACAGCACTTGGCAATTGAACAATAACAAAACTTTCTTTTAAGGTAATGTAGCTGGTCACCAAGCTCTAGGAACATGTGGAGTTGGGACTCCAACTCTTGAGTAAAGAATGGACTCCTTTGGGCCTCCAAGGATAATATATCTTGAAACTAAGCTTCCAGTCTAGATATGAACATGGTTGTGGTCACTGGCAGCAATTCCAGGTATGAATTTTATGTATTGTCAATTAAGGGAAAACTTTTAAGCTGTCAGTTACCTAGCTAGCTCCTGAGTTTGGCCAGATGCGGTGTATCTACCCCATGGACTGTCCATGGGAACTCTTTGTGTCTTAGGGAGCACACTGCCCTCTGCTCTTGATTATATTTCCAGGTCAGTTGTTCCCACCATCAATTAGCCTGTGTGCTCAAGAGAATGCAAACTGATTTCAGCATTATCTTAAACAAAACATAATCAAGAAGGTAAGTATCCTGCCAAAAAAAATTACATAATGCATTCCAAGGCCAACTAAAAATTAATTTGGACCGACCATGCTGAATATATTGATTTAGCAAAAGTTTAAATAGTTAATAGTTCTGGGTACTCTTGTAGAATACAGATTTTTTTTTTCTTTTACCTTAAGTCTCTTTTTAGGAATCAGAAATTCTACAAGTTTAAATTTCACAGGAAAACAATAAACAAATGAGTCTCAGACATCTGTCTCGGTTCATGTATTAAGGTAGTATTTGCAGGTAGTATCCATCTACTACTTGCAAAGCCTTATAAGCCAGAATGTTTGAATACCTACTTGGTCCACAGTCTGGGACATCACCTGAGAGACCCACCCCCAAACCACTGAGTCAGAATCTGCATTTCAACAAAATCCCCAGGCAATTTGTGGTCACATTAAAATTTGAGACGCTTTGATCTCATAATTCAAGAAGCTCAATGTGGAATAGCCTCAGGAAAACTGGTCAGTGGGCCACGATTAGTAATCTCAATTAAGACAACATGCAAGAATAGATTGCAGCCACCTTAAAATGCCCCATGTGACTCCATGTGGTAAAAGCTGCAGTCTCTGCTTCCGTGACTCTGTCTCCTGTAAACGTTTTTCTCACATGAAACACAGGAGGGAGGCTCTGGTGACTGTTTTTACTAAAGCACGTGGGTTGGTGGGCGTGGGGGGAGTGTGGAGCAGAGAGGCGCTGTTCTAAGGAAAGCCTGCCAGGTCTAGTTGGCCCCAGCTCTCCCTCTGGCTTTGCCCTTTTGGCCCCAGAACCACACCCTGTGGGAGCCCAGTCTGAATACTTAAGGTTTCAAGCAGCAGGTGGTTAAGTGTCTCAAGGGCAGGAGGGTTCCTGGGTGACAGAGGAAAACCTCACTCTCTCGAGGCCACTGATCAGTATGGAAAAGAGCAATTCCAACCTGAAAGCACCACTCTTTTCCCTTTCCCGGTGCACATGTTGGGCTAAGGCATTTCAGTCGTGTCCAACTCTTGGCAACCCCGTGGACTGTACGGTACGAGGCTCCTCTGTCCATGGGCTAATCCAAGCAAGAATACTGGCGTGGGTTGCCATTTCCTCCTCCAAGGGATCTTCCTGTCCCAGGGGTTGAACCTGTGTCTCTCACATGCCCTGCTTGGCTGGCGGGTTCTTTACCGCTAGCGCCCCTTTCCTCTCCTCAGGTGGGTGCAACTCAGCGATAGCCTTTTATCTTCCTTGCATGCTTGCTAAGTTGCTTCAGTTGTGTCCGACTCTTTGGGATCCTATGGACAATAGCCCACCAGGCTCCTGTGTCCATGGGATTCTCCAGGCAAGAACACTGGAATGGGTTGCCATCTCCTCTCCTAGGGGATCTTCCTGACCCAGGGATTGAATCTTTTTAATCTCCTGCATTGGCAGGCGGGTTCTTTACAACTAGCACCACCTGGGAAGCCTTATAGCCCTTAAAGAGCTCCAACGCTTCTAAACTCGTAGGCTTTGTGTAAGTGGTAACCCACTTACTGCACCTTCTCCCCACATTCCCACTTCCTTCAAAGGAAGTTTAGAATGCCAAGTAATCAGGCGGTCTTCCGAAGTGAATCAGTGGTGTCAGTTGCTGTGGTCAGGATGGGGGAAGGGATTCAAGAGTCTCCCAGAGATGACATTTAAAATGTCGATTCCTGGGTTCTATTATTAAGACTCTGATTAAGGGGTCTGGGCTTAGAACCAAAAATCTGCCTTTTTAACAAGTGCCCCCAAGTGATGCTGACTAGGAGGTCCGGGCCTAGATGTGAATAAGCAGTGATATAATTAGTTTGGGCTTCCCAGGTGGCACTAGTGGTAAAAGATCTGCCTGCCAATGCAGGAGGCACGAAAGACTGGGGTTCGAATACTGTGTCAGGAAGATTCCCTGGTGTAGGAAACGGCAACCTGCTCCAGTACTTCTGCTGGAAAATTCCATGGTCAGAGGAGACTGGTGGGCTACAGCCCACAGGGCTGCAGAGAGTTGGAAGGAGTCGTCTGAGTGATTAAGCACACATACTGTGATTGGTTTGAGAATAGCAATACCACCTCTACAAATAAATCACCCATTCTAAAGCATCTGTTTCGTTGTTTCAACTGATGTTGTCAACTTCCTGTTTGGTGTCCATTCCGCAGATACTGAGCAACTATTGTTTGCAGAGAACTGTATCAATACTAGCTGCTGCTTTCCTGTGTGATTGGACTGGATGGAAGATGAGGAGAGAAGGGTGTGATCACATCAGAGAACTATTTCTCAACTTCCTAGAAAAATGACAAATTCACTTTTTCATGATTTGTGAAACAGATTAACCTAAAAGACTGTATTACCCAACCAGAGTTAGCATAGTTTACTAACCTTTTGGGCACCAGTGTACCAGAGATGGGAGAAGGCAATGGCACCCCACTCCAGTGCTCTTGCCTGGAAAATCCCATGGACGGAGGAGCCTGGTGGGCTGCAGTCCATGGTGTCGCTAAGAGTCCGACACGACTGAGCGACTTCACTTTCACTTTTCACTTTCGTGCATTGGAGAAGGAAATGGCAACCCACTCCAGTGTTCTTGCCTGGAGAATCCCAGGGATGGGGTCCTGGTGGGCTGCCGTCTAGGGGGTCGCACAGAGTCGGACACGACGGAAGTGACTTAGCAGCAGCAGCAGCACCAGAGACGCCACGGTCTTGCTTGCAAGGTCAGTTCTGTAACAAAACTGCCATGGTTCAAAGCCCTACTTTCTCCACTTCCATGAAACGACCATAGACAAGTGACTTCTCTGTGACTCAGCTTCTTCATCTGTTAAATGAAGACTATAGGACCTACTTCATTGAGTTAACGTTTGTCAATTCAATGAAACACTGGAATATCTAATTGATGCAGAGGACTTCGAGAATCTAACGTACTGAATATTCATTCTGTTTTTCGGTTAAGGTCACGAAACCGCTGGTGAGAAGCTGAGAAATGCTTCCGGAGGGTGATCTGGAATTCCAGGTGAAGAAAGTGCAGTTAAACTTGATGTTTCACACAAGCAGTTCAGATGAATTATTCTAACTGGAGTGATCTGGGTTTTCGCTTTGTTTTGTAAAGTTCCCTAATCCTTGGCTTCTTTGGGAGTTTGTCCCTGGGATGCCACACTCTGCCGCCAAAGTCCCCCTCCAGGTCCCCAGAGCAGGGTCTCAGGCAGGTGCCCCGCGGGAGCCGGACCCGGACCAGAGCGGCCGCGGGAGGGGACGCGGAGCCCAGGCCTCCAGGGGAAGGGCTGGGTGAGGACCCGGGTCCCGCGGCGCCGAGGCCGCCTCCCCGCGAGGATGCCGGCGGGCGCGGGGAGCGTGCGCGGCCACGTGACGGCCGCTATAAGAGCGCTCCGGGCGGACGCTCGGCTCCCGCCGCGCCTCCTCGCCGGCCGCGCTCGCTCCCCGCGCGCGGCGTCTCCGAGTCACGAACTTGCGGCTGCGGCTGCGGCGGCCGCCCGCGCCCCCGGCTGCACCATGACAGGTACGCGCCGCCCGGCGCGGCCGCCGCGCTTCTCCCCCCGCACCCGGCCCTCCGCCCCGGGGGCGCTCCCGGCAGGACGAGGACCGCCGCGAAGTTGCAGGCTGGCCGCGGCCGGGCGTGTCGCTTCCTGCGTCAGCCAATGCCCCGCCGCCCCGGGGGCCCGCGCGGCCGTCCCGGGCCGGAGCGCGGCCGAGGGGCCCCCGCCGCGCAGCGCCTGGGCCCGCCGCCGGAGCCCCCGTTCCTGCTTCCGTCTCCGTGCCCTTCCTCCTGCGCGCACCGTGAAGGGCGGGCGGGCGGAGCAGTGCGGCGGGCTGCGTAGGGGCGGGGAGCCGGCTCCTCGGGGGCGCCCGGCCCGACGCCCGGAGCGCGGCGGGGTCGCGGGGCGCCGCCGCCACGGCCCGCGGGCTGGGACATCCGGGAAGGGGCGGCCGCGAGGCGGGCCCGCCGGCGGCCCCGGCCCGGCTCCTCGGCCGTCAGTCCCGGCGCTGGCCGCCTCGCCGAGCCTATTTTTAGGCCTTTGGGGCTGGGTTGCAGGAAGCCCGAGCCCGGCGAGCGCCCCCGGGGAGCGGGACCCGCGAGGTGGGAAGGCGCCGGGCCACTTGTTGCAGGGTGTCCGGGCCGCTCTGCGAGTCTGCCCCCGAGGACCCCAGGCCGTGCTGTTGAGTCTAATAGTGGGGTTATTGCAGCCACGGAACCGCGGAAAGATCGCAGAAGTCAGCCGGGGCTCGGCCATCTCCGGGAGCGTTTAGCCTCCTCCCCAGCTGCCTTTCCTTTGCTAGGTTCGCCTTGCAAACCTCGGTTCCTAAGGTTTGTCCTGCCTCCCGCTTCCTTTGGGAAATCATCCACATCCTTGCTTCCTGAAAGCCTTGAATCCTACTACCTGTAAACTTTTCTCCTTGATCCCCCGGTGTGAGTGCGCGCTAAGTGGCCTCAGTGATGTCCGACTCTTTGGGACCCATAGACTGTAGCTCCTCTTGGCCGGGGATTCTCCAGGCAAGGATACTGGAGTGGGTTGCCATGCCCTCCTCCATGGTCCTGGAATCAGGACCATCTTTGAGTTGAAACATCATTCATCGTGCCCCACGTTAAGCTTCCTTGCTGTGGGCCGACCAAAATACTGCTGTCTTATGATGGGTTGAAGACACGAGAACAGGCAGGGGTTGATGGGTATGTCAAGGGATGGGGGCGCTGTTCTGAGCTTTGGACAGAGCTGAGTGACTGGCTGAGAGGCAGATGACCCTGGGGGAGGGCGGGGTGCAGGTAGAAGCTCCAGACCTTCTACTGCTTAACAGAGGATCCAAGGCTGTGTGTGAAGGCTGCCCTCAGATCTGCGGCTGGGAGTCTGCTGGCCCACTGGACGGCCTCCAGTGTCCTCTTCTCGTGGGAATTTGCCTCCAGGCTCCACTAGAAAATGGGAAAGGCAGGAAGAGGAAACCTAAGACAGAAATCAGAGTGACTTCGTTACAGTGTCCTGACTCCCTGCTTGGGCAGCAGGGACCCACGTCAGCCCCGGCAACACTGGATCCTTTGTGTTTGGATGCCCACCAACCTGTTCTAATGTTGAAATCCCTTTCAAGAGGGCATGTGTCCCGGAAGCGTCCTGGGAAGGACTAAAGAAACCCTAAAGGCTTGGGAGAGTTGGGCTTGTTCAGGAGGAAGAATAATTCATGTATTGGCAACTAAGTGATTATTGGAGATTGATTTTTGAATATGTGTGTGTGTGAGAGAAGGGGGGGGCGGATTCCCTGGTGGCCAGGTGGTAAAGAATCCACCTGCCAAGCGGGAGATGTGGGTTTGATCCCTGGATCAGGACAGACCCCTGGAGGAGAACATGGCAACCCACCGCAGTGTTTTTGCCTTAAAAAGTCCATGAACAGAGGAGCCTGGAGGCTGCAGCCTAGGGAGTGGCAGGGAGTCAGACGCGACTGAGCAGCAGAGCAAGCGCGAGTGTGGGGTAGAGGGCGGAGGGGTCCCAGGGTCCTGGGCAGGACGCACTGCTTGCTTCTCCAAGGAAAAGGAGGCGGGTTTGCTCGAGCTTGTGAGGTGGTCCCTAAATCCACTCAGCAGTGACGGGCCCCTGTTTAGATGGAAGCGTCAAGGAGGGAAGGCCTCTCGGGGGAATTGATGTTTAAGAGAGACTCCGAGTGACTCTGGGGAGGTGGTTGGGTGACTGTGGAGTCTTGGCTCCAGGTTGAGGAAAGAGTTGAAAAAGCCTGAGGCTTGGCACATGTGAGCGCCAGGATGAAGAATATGGCCTCTGCTACAGATGCTGTCAGTTGAGGTTGTTGGCTGGGTCTGTTCCTGACTGAGAATACTGTCTATGGTACCGTGTAGGACGGACAGAAAATGCGCTTCTTCATCTCTCCTCTGCTTCAGCACTGCTCTGGGTGTTAAGCTACTGTCTACTCTGAGAATTTAGCATGTCTGGACTCTATATTGGATTTAATTTTTATAGCCTCTTGAAGGTTGCCAATGATCTCCTGCTAAAGAATGGTACTGAGATGCTCTTAAAGTGGTCCCTGGGTTCTCTCTCCCCGCCCCCCACCCCCCAAGAGGCTGTTCCTTTATTAGTCGAGCAGGTTAATCACAGAGGAGTTGATTTTGCCCAGTTGTTGGTTGACCAGGGTCCTGGGGTCCTGTTGTCTAGTTAGAATGATGTAATGAACGCCTTGTTTTCCTTGTTTTAAGATCAGGCCTTTGTGACACTGACCACAAACGATTCCTACGCCAAAGGAGCCCTGGTCCTGGGCTTGTCTCTGAAACAGCACGGGACCTCCAGGAGGCTGGTCGTGCTCGTCACCCCGCAGGTCTCGGACCCCATGAGGTGAGGACGTGCCGCCGGGCCGTGGGCTGGGCTCTGACACCCCCTCCCCTGTTTCTGGCATCAGTGGGCCTGCGGGCCAGACCCTTTGCAGGGGCTGAGTGCTGGTGGAGAGCGATGAGGGCTGCTGAGTGGAGGACTCCTGGGTCCGAAGCCTCTTCCTGGCTCCTGGGAGCTGTTCCGACCACGCTCCGTCTGGGAGGTGGAGTTCTGGCCCGAGTGCTTACTGATCCCAGCCAGGGTTGGGCGCTCTCGGAGGCAGGTCTCTCCGGGTGATCCGAGCGAGTGACTCAGTGCAGCCGTTCCTCTGTGTCATCCTGCTTCACCTGCATGCCTTTCCCCCAAAGGGAGCAGGGGCTACTGTTCCTGTTTCCAGCCAAGCAAACCTCCCTTGCCTTTGAAAGAAAGGAGCAGTTTTCTCCACCACATCTGACATTAGTAACCTAATGATCTTTATTTACAATTCAGTAAACTAGATATTTTCCAAAGGGCTCTCTGAATTAGGGGTCCCGCTAAGAAAGACCCCTTGGGGTACAAGCTGCTTGTTGATTGGGTTAGTTCATGTTAGTTTTTTGGAGTTAAATTTTGAAGTATATGAATCAACTGCCTTGATCCTCATACTAACTGATTTAAGAGTACCTTGCCACACTAGCACCTCTGTATTGCATTTATTTTTGCATTCTTTTATCCCTTTTAGAAGTTGAAAATGCCCCTTTTGTGACTCTTTTCAAAAAATGTAAGCACATGCCAAGGAGCCCTGAAAAAGAGGCATTATATATGCATACATATATCTCACACACTAACAATCTTGTTCCTAAAGGGTAATTTAGGAAAACCAAATTACCCCCAAACTGCCTCCTCTGTGTATGTCCTCATGTATAATCACTTTAGTGAGGATACTGTAAGAAAGAGGATGTGGTCTTAGAAACCAAGCCCCCTTTCCGGTCGTCAGTGGTACACAACCATTTCTTTCAAAGAAATCAAGTTTACGGTGTGAACTGGAGCATATTTTTGTACAGCTTTGGAGGTGACTAGTACAATAGCAGTTTTGTTCTACATGCGTGATACTATTGTAAACTTTGAGTGATGACCTGTCTTTCTCCTGTGTTTTTTCTTGTGTTGAGTTTAGTGTCTCACCTGGGAAGTACACCGCCGCTTCTCTCACCTCTGACTTGCTTTCTAAAGTCAGTGTGTAGTTAATTTTGGGCAGAGAGAAGTGTTGTACCTCATAAACCAGAGTGAGTCGCTCATGCCAGGAGTGCTAAGCATATAACAAATGTTGTTTGTATTCGATGCAAAAGAATGGAAACCAAGTAATTGAGTCACTCAACTTCTTTTACGACACAAAGCTTCAGGCAGTTGTCAGCTGCTTTAGCAAAAATTATTAATTAGTTATGGGCTTCAGTGCAGATATTGTATGTCTTAACTCAGCATTACTTGGAAAAGGATTCAGTGGTCAGCAAGAATCAGTTCTAATAAAATATTACTGTTAAAGATGTCGGCTGTTGAAAAGACGTCTGACCAAACATCAGTTACATTTTTACAGGCTGTTTCACAATTTTCCTGGTATTCAGTGATACAATGAAACATACGGAACTTCTTCTATGATAGTGTTTAAGACAAGTAGTTCATCCTCACCATAAGCAGTTCTTACCGTTTTAGTGAAATCAACTGCATATGCAAATTAACAGTTTGTGGTGAAGCCAATTAGGACATATTTAAGAGGCCGTAGTATACCAAAGGAACAATTGCTGTCGTTGTTGATCAGCTAATAAGGATGCAGTCTTATGTTATATGGGTCACTTGTTCTCAGGAGATGCTGAGAGCTGTTTTCTGGACTTCATTCTGACAGGAAAGCTTTAGAGACCGTCTTTGATGAAGCCGTCTTGGTGGATGTCCTGGACAGCGGCGATTCCGCACACCTCACCCTGATGAAGAGACCTGAGCTGGGTGTCACGCTGACGAAACTCCACTGCTGGACACTCGCACAGTACTCGAAGTGTGCGTTCATGGATGCAGATACTCTGGTGAGTGTGCCTTTGATGGCTGGAGAGACGGATATAGTAACTGAAACCAGTTGGGCATGTGAAGAATGCTGTCAGGACTTGACAGTAAAGTGCAGATAAAACCACTGCTGTGAAAAGTGCCAGGTGTTGAAGGAGAGTAAGACCAGTCTGCCTCACAGGTGTCATCTGAAGACTTAAAGTCCAGCAACAGATTGCATCTTGTGTGCTGGATAACTTAAGGAGAACTCAGGAAGGGTTCTGCTATAGAAGAACAGCTCTGAAATGCTTTCCCTTCTCCCCACCCCCTTACCCTTGAATCAGGTCCTAGCCAATATTGACGATCTTTTTGAGAGAGAAGAATTGTCGGCGGCACCAGACCCAGGGTGGCCTGACTGCTTCAATTCTGGAGTCTTTGTTTATCGGCCTTCAGTCGAAACATACAATCAGCTGTTGCGTCTTGCTTCCGAGCAAGGTAGTTTTGATGGTATGTACCCGCTTTCCTCGTCTCAGATACGCTGTGAGTAACTTCTGGGGGCTGCTCTTCTCAGGGAGTTCCTGCGTGTCCTTGTGTCTGCAGGGTAGTGATACATGTGATGTGACAAGCGTTTTAAGCTGTATTGTTCTGGGAAATAGTATGTGTGTGCATGCATGCATCTTCTTCCTGTAGGTACCTGGGCTGTTTTACAGACTTGCCCTTCATTGATCTTCCTGTGTCTAAATTAGAGTATGATTAAAGCAACCATGATTATTCAGGAATTCAAAAGACCACTAAACAAATGAGAGTTTAACAGTTGTCTTAAGTCTGAGTAAACTGAAGTGCAAGAACTAACAGGAGGACCCAGAATTGTCTTTGTGGAAATTTGAGGAATAAATTTAGGCTCTCATTCTCAGAACATGCCTCTGTGAGTAATCTTTGTTTCCAAATTTTCACTGCCTATAAGGCAGTGCATCAGATAGAGTGCTATCTGCAAAGCTAAAGCACAGAACCTTGGCAGAGTCACCATCCATTTTCCATAATGCGTATGTGTATCTATCTATAGCTGTCAGTATGTTTATATAGAAAGGTGGTGACTGTGATTTAGGGCCTCACATCCTTTGGAGAATTTTGGTTAAATTAATTAGGTATACTTCTATTTTAGGCCAGTCTCTAAAATAATAAATAACAAGTCACTTTGTTTTTAACACAAACCACAAAGCTGGCAGTTAGTATGCAAAAGCAGCTTTTTAGAAAATAAATGTTGATGGATCCTTTGAATTAAGAAAAGACCCAGTTGTATCTAGGAAGAAGGATTTGTACAAGGAGACCCCCTCTCGGCAATGACTGTCTGTCATATACCTGACACCGTGGCAGAAGCCAGGGGGAGGCCAGAGCCCTGAGCAGACCCCAGGCCCCAGGGGCTACTTTCCTCTCCAAGAGCAGGCATGAGATTTGCAGTGAGTAGATCTTTTGACACCAGCAGGAATGACCATCCTCAACTGACAAAAAGCTCAGCCCTGGATGCAAATACGGGGGTTCATCTCCATTAACTAGTTGCAAAGTTAAAAATTACAATTTCAAATTTAAACTTTTTGAATTAAAAGTACATCTAGAAGTTCATGGGATTGCTGAAATTAAGAGATTGGAATTTAAAACAATTTTGTGTGTGTTAGGCACTCAGTCATGTCCAGCTCTTTGCGACCCCACGAACCTTAGCCTGCCAGGCTCCTCTGTCCATGGAATTCTCCAAGCAAGAATACTGGAGTGGGGAGCCATTCCCTTTTGCAGAGGATCTTCCTGATCCAGGGATTGAACTCAGGTCTCCTGCATTGCAGACAGATTGTTTACCTCCCCCACCAGGGAAGCCCAAAACATTTTTAGTTACATATAAAATTGAAATCGGGTTTTTGTTGTTGCTGTTCACGGAAATTGAATTCTGTTTAGTCATTTGAGGATTTGGAATAGCAGCTATTTGAAATGTCATTGAAAAAGGAGGAGAAATTTAAATCTCAGTCTTGTTTCACTGTTTGACTAGTCTGTGCTCTATACCAGTAGTGCTAAACCTGGGGTGATTTGGCCCCGCCCCCTGGGGACTTTGGACAGTGTCTGGAGACATTTTCAGTTGTCACAAGTGAATGGGGAGGCGGGACTGGCAGCCAGTGAGTAGAGGCCAGGGATGCTGCTAAACATCCTCCAACGCACGCCCCCACACCAGAGAATCATCCGGCTCAAGAGGTCAGCAGTGCCAAGGCTGAGAAATTTCTGCTCAATGCCAAGTCATTATGTGCCCTTAAAACAGTGAGCAAAGGTATCTGAGCCGTTATAAATGGCAGCCTCCGACAGGAAGTGCGTTCTTACTTTAAGCAACCTTAAGTGAGAAATAATGCTTTGAGTGCTGACCGTGGTTATGGCCAAGTGTAACTTCTTCACTTCACTGATTTATTTTGTAGCTCCTGCTATTTTCCTTTCATATAAGGAATGAAAATTATATTGGCATTTGAGTTCAAAACATGTATTTCTCTTGCTCACACAAAAATAGTTACCTTTGCACAGAAGGGAAGATAGGAGTATTTTTAGCAGAAGTCCACTGTTTGTCTTAACCTTTGCGTCAGATTGTGGCTTTCTTCACCTCCTCTCATTAAATTTAAAGGAAGTAGCATAATCCTGCCAGAAATTCTGTGTAAATTCTCAGATCTAGTGAGTGAGTAGCATTCTACTGTAGATCTAGCTGCCTAAAACACACACGATTGTAATCGCGTGAAGAAAATCCACTTTCTAATCTGAAGAATACTAGATTCTGTTGTTGCAAGATGAAAGTTTGGATACCAAACAGTGTGACATGATAAATTACTGGGTTACAATTTCAGAATATAAAATGGTTTAATTAGCTGGGTCATGTATCTGTTCTGGAACCCAGAGCTACTAAAGGAGTTGATGATCCGTTGTTAAGAAGCAAGAACGTGTGAAGAGGGCTCAACTAGAAAGCACTTTCTGCTTTTTCAGCTAGAATCTGAAACCACAGGAGATTCTCTCTGTGCCTGGGAGCACATTCATTATTCAGCTGCAGGGTTTCCAGGAGCTGGCCTTTCTGGAGGGTGCTCCTTTTACTGGCTCGTTGGTGGCAAAGGATTTGAATTATTTCTGTGGCTCGTAGAAATACCTCGTTGAAAGAGTTGAGAATTCAGCTGTGTAGATAGGAGCTTATGGGTGTTCTTTGTTTTAATGTTATTTATTTTTTACATTTTTGGCCGTGGTAGGTCTTCACCGCGGCGCGGGCTTTTCTCCAGCTGCGAGGAGAGGGGCTGCTCTCTGGTTGTGGGGAGAGGACCTCTGTCCGCGGTGGATTGCGGTGGCTGTCCCTCTCACCGAGCGCAGGCTTCGGGAGTCGGGCTCCTGGGCGCTCGAGCGCAGCCTCAGTACTTGTGGCTCCGGGCTCAGTGGGACCGAGGAATGACGTCAGGCTCTCAGTGCAGAAACCTGTGTTGTTTAGATGTCGCCCCCGGGCTCTGAGATAAGCACTGTCAGGAATTTCCTTTCACCTTACCGTACACTCCTAATATCTGCAGACATCCGCCCCCCACCCCAACCCCAGGTGCACTGAACAGGGGTCTTCAGTCTCAGCATTGTTAGACTGCCAGTAAAGAAAACCTGTTTGCAGATAACCGTATCTCAGTCTGAATGTTTTGCAAGTTCTGCTTAATCTCCTCCTGCGTTCAGCAAAACCTGATGGGGCCTGATGTGCACTGACAAGCACGCGGGCTGCTGGCGGCTGAGCGCCTGCAGTCGCCTCTGCTGCTCTTCTGATGCAGAGGGATGCGGCTGCGAGGCTGCTGATCACCGTGCTCTAATCACACCGCAGCCTGCCTCCGACCACGAGGGTATTCCTAATATGGCGAATCATGCTAGGGACCACGCCATCTCTTTTCTTCCCCAGTGTCTGCGGAGTGTTAGAAATTTCAAACTAGTGACCTCATTCCTAATTCATGGCTGGTGTTTAATTTCCCACAATGAAGTGTCTAACTTCCTATGCTGTTAATATTTGTGGACTGTCTTGCATTTACTTCATAACCAACATTACATGTTTTCTGAAGAGTTGTACAATAACTGTTGCAAAACACACATACTGTAGCATTTTATAGACTCTGACAAGATAAGGTCAACTTCAGGACTTAACAGAGAGAAGGGAGAGAGGTGATGATTTCGTAGGTACTAGTCAGCAGTTTTGTCTCCACACATGAGTTTGCAGTAAGGCTGATTCACTTGACTCTTCATTTGATTAAATTAATCTGGATGCAAGTTGAGATTTTTATTTCCTTTCCTCCCATGACTCCAGAGTATCCTAAATTAAGGATGCCTATACCGTTGGAATGGTTGGATGGCATCACTGATTTGATGGACATTAGTTTAAGCTCTGGGAGTTGGTGATGGACAGGAAAGCCTGGCGTGCTTCAGTCCATGGGGTTGCAAAGAGTTGGATATGACTGAGCAACTGAATTGAACTGATACAGTTGAAAAGTTTTAACGCTTGAGAGTTGCTGTATATTAAATTTTGTTTCCATGTGTTACCTTCTAAAACCTAAGTGAAAAATTAGAATTCATATTTTCCAATTTCAAGTATCCATCTTTAAAAAAAAATGGGATTCATTAGTGTAATCTAAATACCCTAAACTTTTTTTAAAGTCATGAAATTTTGGTCTGTAGTTGAATTTTCAAAAAAAAAAAAAAAGTAAATTGGTATAGAATGTTAGGTATGGTTTTCCTTCAGTAGAATCTAAAACCTGCTGTGAGGTCATTAAACTGTGTGTTCCCTTTTCTGATTTTAAGGGGTCACTGAGACCCTTAAACTGAAATTTTTTTCTGTGCTTGGAAATGTAAACTGGGAGAGTAAAGCGAAGTTTTAAAATAAATTTAAAAGAGTTGGTTCTAAATTCTAAAGTGTAAAATTGATCCCAGTGCTACTGTCTCTAACCTTTGCGGTTAGTTTGGATTGAAGCTGTCCGGAAAAGGAGTGAAGGAGAGGTGTTCCCAGATAGCACTTGTCTTGTTCAAACCAGCGATGCTCAGAAATTCAGGTGTACCTCACCTGGCCCTCTGACTTGCAAGCTTCGACTTTGACAGGTGCTCATGGCAGGCTTTCCCAGCTGCCCACAGACTGGGCTACTCGTGGCTCTGTACGCCTTAAGCTCTGTTCCCAGGTGCTTTGAAAATTACTCTGTTCTCTTGTGTTTATATCATTCAGTAATTGAATTTTAATTGATAGTTTGGGTAGTATCTTGAATAAAGATGAAAAGCAAAAGTCATATCATGTAGCAAAATACATGAGTACACACAGTTTTTAAGAGCTGTTTTTATATACCTGTACCTACCCATGAGGATTTTTTTTTTAACTTGGCCATCTGTTTCTAGCCTTGTAACCAGCAGAGATCATGAACTCTTGAGAAATAGAGAGGGAAGGAAGAACTAAAGTGTTCATGTGTCCAGGCTCTTAGGGGAGTCATTTTACTTCT